ATTGTATTTGGTTTGAGTTCAATTTAGTCTACAAACCAGCAACTATTGGGAAAGATGTCAAGGAACAAATTTGCAATGAAATTACAGAGGGATGCAAAATGTACAGAGTAATTAAACAGGCGATATTAATTATCTGAATACATACTGGAATGGTAATCATGTAAAGGTCAGAGAGGAGCATGAGTTCCTCTGATTCAGGAGAATCTTTTTTGATAGCTTTATATTCCCAGTGTAATGGGAAAGGAGGCATTGTAAGGCATGGTTCTTGGAAAAGAGGAGACCAAATGGTTCAGCAGGGGAACAGTGTGGGCACATTTAGGCAACATGAATCAGGGATTGAAATATTTAGGTCCGCTACAGAAAAGAGCAAGGAATAATCCAAAGTGTAATTAATGGAAGGTTAAGGGGCAAGAATTGATCTAATCCACTTGGCAGACAAAACCATAATCGATGGTCAGATTACCTTTAAAGAAGGGATAGTTTGGCAGAGTCAGGAAGGGAAAAGCTAAGGTGGTCAAATCCAGAGTTCCTTGGATAACAAAAACAAAAGAAGATGAAGGATGCTTAAGGCAGGTGTCATGTGAATAACACAACAAAGAATGAAGACACAGGAGGTTCAGGCAGGAATTTTTAGCAACAAGAGAATATGAAAAGAGACTGGCAATTAACATAAAGGGGACTCCAAAAGTCTTCTATCAGCGTTTAAATAGTAAATTGTTGATAAATGATGGAGTTCTGCTGGGCTGCAAAGGGGATTGGTGCATGAGGTCAGAGGATGCGACCAGATTGATTTCCAGGATGGCAGGACTGACATATGAAGAAAGACTGGATCAGCTGGGCTTGTACTCACTGGAATTTAGAAGAATGAGAGTGGATCTCACAGAAACATATACAATCCTGATAGGGTGGACAGACTAGATGTGGGAAGAATGTTCCCAATGTTGGGCAAGTCCAGAACCAGAGGTCACAGTCAAAGAATAACGGTAAGCCATTCAGGACTGAGATGAGGGAGAACTTCTTCACTCAGAGAGTTGTGAACCTTTGGAATTCTCTCCCATGGAAAGCGGTTGGGGCCAGTTTGTTAAATATATTCAAGAGAGAGCTGGACGTGGCCCCTGCTGCTAAAGGAATCAAGGGGTACGGAGAGAAAGCGAGAATGGAATACTGAGACTGCATGATCAGCCATGATCTTAAATGGTGGAGCAGGCTCGAAGGGCCGAACAGCCTCCTCCTGCACCCATTTTTTATGTTTCTATGAATTCTATCTTTACCGAGAAAAAGGGTGCTGCATAGGATATGGTTAAATAGTACATGCAGCAGTTTGGAGGGGAACTTACAAGTGGTAGTAAAGGAATAAAATCATGCACCAATAAGAGTTAGATGAGGCGGGTTAAGAAAAGACTTGCATAAAGCATAAATATTGCTGTAAACCAACAGACAGAATGGCTGACTTTGTTCAGTAAATTCTACACAATTCTATATAAGGCTTACCTTGACCCTTGCGTCTTTATGTCCTAGAAGTTTCTTGCTATTCTCCATAATTATGTTGGCAATGACCTTGTTTAGTGGCACCAGTAGTAAGCCTACCACCAGGCCTCCTAGGAACGTCACACCAACCTGTTGGTACAGAAGGTAGAGAGTGATACCAAACTGAAAGGGTAAGCTCCACACCTCATGGAAGATAGGAAAGAAATTCACAATCCGGTCTGTGTCAGTGCTCATGAAGTTGACAATCTCACCCACGGAGAATGTGGACAGAGTTGTTGTGTTGACCCGCAGAGATTTGCGGTAGATTGCAGATATTATAGCTGAACGGACCATCAGGCTAATGGTCATGACTCGGTAATTGAACTGGTTGAGAAGAACAGCACCCGCAAAAGTGCTGAGAAACAGTCCTAGTGCATACCAGACACCCTTGATCATTTGCTGTGTGTCCGACTCCATGAAAGTAACCAGCAAGTTTAAAAGAAGAGGTCCTGAAAAGCCTAACATGCTGCCTGTAAACTTTAACAGCCCAAGGGAGTAATAGCGACAGCCAAAGGCTTTATTCAAAACAGACAGCAGATGCACTTCCTTGTCAACATTTGTAGATGTGGCATCTTTCTGGGGTGCCTGAGACCTCTGCTGTTCACGCCAAGAACTTCTGCGAATCTGCTGACGGCTATCAATATGCTGATTACCATCAGATTCTGATTTGTGTCGTTTCTTTTCCTGTTTCGATGCATTCTCCAAAACACACTTCTGCCAACATTTCTGAAAATGCTCTTCAATTTTATGGGTCCTAAGTTTCAGTGGTAGCTGGTAAACATCATTGGGTTGGTTAATCTGCAACTTGTAGCCACGCTTCATGATAGGATTCATCCAGAAGTAGAAAAGGTGAGAGATCCAGCTGGCTCCATCTTCAGCCACAATCTCTCCTTCGGATCCTGCAGTCTGATCTTGCAACAGTGGTTGCTGTTCTGGGCTCATTTCATCTCTTCCAGGTTGGGAAGCAACCAGCACAACCAGATAGACAAGAAGCAAAGTTAATTCTGCACAGATCAAAATGAATCTCAGCCAGCTGGAAAGATAATCGGAACATGTGATCTGTCTGGTCTGGCAATCAGCTATCAGAATGATAATTAATGCAGGGGCTGGCAGGACTGCAAAGAAAGGCAATATTGCTGGACCCAGCGAGCGGCCATACTGAGACTTACTGAGCGCAACCACTGCCAGTCCATGGATAAGCCAGGCTATCACAGCAACAGAGTCCACCAGCACCTCTAGCCACAGAGTTTTTAAATTTGGAAAAAAGATGATTGTCACCACATCAAAAAGGAAAAGAGCCACCTGAATGAAGGAAATAATAATTCTGCATTCCCAGCTCCAGGTGAAACTCTGCCAGCGGGATCTGCAAGAAAAAAATCAAATACAGGAAATTTTAAATGACTACATTTTTGTTCTCAAAGAAAGTGACGTCAGCACTTAGGATAGTTTTGCACATCAGTGTCAGTAATAAAAGCCCCAAATTCAGGTCCAGCATTCAGAACAACATTCTTTACAATACACAAGATGCAACTGAACTATAACATCAGAACAGCAACCTGACTTCACTGAGGGCATTTCTTCTTTGTTTACATCAGTCAACGTGGAGCCTTTCTGAGTGAAACTGACAACTGAGAATCAAATTACAGCGTTTTCTTGTTTTACGGGCCGAAATTTTTCACTTTAGTTTCCATCAAGACTCTAAAAATTATTACACAGGTGGCACCTGCTACCATTCTCAAGATTTTTCAAAATCTTGAATGTATTAAATATATTTATTTTTAAATTGATTAAATCTAAATCTTATTCTAAAAATGACAAAATAGAAACAGGCTGATCAGCCCAACCAGCCACATCAGCATTTGCAAGGTAATTCACTCTATATTTTTCAAATTTATTCACACGTCCGTTCAACTAACCATCCATTGAAATAACCAAGCATGTGAATTTCACAACTCTGTGAGGATCTTTTTTCTTCTGTGCTTCCTGCCTCTTGTATTTTATACAATTTTGGCCCTTAATAAAAAATGCACAGTATGTTTTAACAGAGCCATAGAGAAATCATCTATACTTCTTGTTCCTGATTAAGAAGCAACAACTGCCTTACTGAAAAATGCATTAATGTGCTCAGCAAGAACACAGAGGAAAGAATGCGACACAACTGTGTTGCTCCTTCCACATATGAATACCATGTTGGTACAGCCAGGTTTCACATAAATAATAACCACTTAGCGGAAGTGCCACAGAGAGGGAACCCAATGCCCAAGAAACTAAAGTCTTCAAGAGCAGTAGAGGGAAAAACACATGCAAGGACCAAGAAAATAGGATTGTCACAAGACCAATGCCCAAATTGTACTAATCTTGCCCAACTATTTAATAATCTGTCAACATATAACTCCATTCTCTCAGAATACAACCCCTTTGAACAAACCCTTAGAATCTCTGAACAGAAACAAACTGATCAAATCAAAACATCAAACTCCATGCATGGAATTGATTAACTGAATATAATAGCACAGGGCCATGTATAAGCAGTGTTTTTTCTTTATTCATTCACGGGATGAGGGCGTCGCTGACCAGGCAGCATTTATTCCCATCCCTACTTGCCCAGAGGGCAGTTAAGAGTCAACCACATTGCTGTGGGTCCAGAGTCACACGTAGGCCAGACCAGGTAAGGATGGCAGTTTCCTTCCCCAAAGGACATTTGTGAACCAGAGATAGTAGGAACTGCAAATGCTGGAGAATCCGAGACAACAAGGTGCAGGGCTGGATGAACACAGCAGGCCAAGCAGCATCATAGGAGCAGAAAGGCTGACGTTTCGGGCCTAGACCCTTCATCAGAAAAGGGTGTGAAATTCACATACCGAGGGGTATTAAGATAGCAGGCGCTGGCAAGGGTCTGATGAAGGGTCTAGGCCCGAAACATCAGCCTTTCTGCTCCTATGATGCTGCTTGGCCTGCTGTGTTCATCCAGCCCTGCACCTTGTTGTAAATAGTGAACCAGAGGGGTTTTAACAACAATCGATAACGGATTCATGGTCATCATTAGATTCTTAATTCCAGATATTTTGTTGAATTCAAATTCCACCATCTGCCATGGCGGGATTTGAACCAGTGTCCCCAGAACATTATCTGGGTTTCTGGATTAACAGTCCAGTGATAATACCACTCGGCCATTGTCTCCCCTCGAGGCATTGGTCATCATGGGCTTCAACCGTGCGCAAGGTTCCCAGTTTGAAACTGAGCAGTAACATTTTTGTGATATCAAGGGTGTGAAATTCACATACCGAGGGGTATTAAGATAGCAGGCGCTGGCAAGAGCCAGAGCGGTGTGCGGCAGCACATTAAGGACAAGTTGAGTGAAGCAATACCCAACACTACCATTGTCCCACACTGGAAATGGGTTAGAACGATCAGTGTCACACAATTCAGCGAGGAAGTCAGCCATACTGGGAGGGAGGTCACAGCATCAGGTAACAACTGGGAAAGGAAAGACAGTACATCAGATAAATAAAGCAAAAAGCACAGTATCAGAACAGCTGTACAACAGCAACAGTTTGATAAAGGTATTATCTTCACTCAAAAATGAGCACATTTTTAAGTCAACAATTTTTTTAAGATGTATTATTTCATTGATGGATTAGTGAGCAAATCATCACCCAAATGACGGTACACCCGAGTTGTAAGGTCCAATATTCAATCGCATACAGTCCAGTTCATTAAGCCAAGCTAAGGTTAGATTTGTTACCAACTACCAACATCGAGGATTAGTGTTCACAAAGGTTAGGCGGGAAACTGACTTCTTGCCTCTGTTGGAAACACTCAAAGGCCTTCCTGGAACAATAGTCAGAGAGAAAAGCTGTCTTGCAACCAAGAATGGACAAATCAGGCACTTTCCAAATTCAGCATCCCCCATTTCGATGCACAGATTATGACTTAAATATAGACTGGTCTATGTGTCTCGATCCCTATACACCGGAATCATTACTAGACAGTGAAATTTGGTGTCTCCAACATAGGAAAGTTTGGATTTTTGCGGTTAGATAGGGTCTGGAGTTGATTTGAAACTTTCACGAAAAATAGACGAGGGAACTAGCAATACCAACAAATCATTGAAATGGTGCTTGTCACTGAAGAAACGGTCAGTTTTTAAATAATGCAGAGGTCCAGCCTTCCGTCTATTCCCACCGACAGGTTTGAGGTGATTTCTCGATTCCACCTTTTGACTGTTTCTGACTGAAATAAAGACATAAAAATAAAAAAGGAAATACTCAGCAGGCCAAGCCAAATCTGTGAACACAAACAGAGGGTTAACATCTCAAGTCGAAATGATCCTAATGTTGTTCAGTTTTATTTTAAATGTCCAGCATCAGCAGTATTTTACTTTGTTGTTTATTGAGAAAGCTTTCCGGCAAACTGTAAACTGGGACCTTAACTCCGCCCTCTCCCTAACGACGAGGTGCTCTTGCACCAAGATGGGTACCTCTGAGTGACTGTTTGAGTGATCTGTGAGAGCACTCCCTATTTCCCGGAGGTTGAAACCTCCAAGCGGAAATTCCCTTTTTTGTTGTTATTTCAGACCCCAGTCTTCCACAAACCACAACTTTACTATTAATATATGGGGGAATCAGTTAACTTACTAAAAACAAAACCCAAAGCACTGAAGATGCTGGAATCAGAAACAAAAATACAAATTGCTGGAAAAACTCCAGCAGCTGTGAAGAAAAAGCAGTTTTAACATGTCAGGTCCAGTGAATACTCTTCAGAACTGATTGTAGCAAAGACAAAGTTGTTATATATGCTAAAGATGAGGTGGGGAGAGGTCTACTGTACTCACTGCTCGCAATGTGGTCTCCTCTACATTGGGGAGATGAAACACACACAGGAAGATCATTTTGCAGTTGCCCCCCAGGTCCCTTTTAAATCTTTTCCCTCTCATCTTAAACCTAGGCCCTCTAGTTTTGGACTCCCCTATCCGTGGGGAACGACCTTGGCTATTCACCTTATTTATGCCGTCGTGTTTTTATAACCCTCAAAAAGGTCACCTCTCAGCCTCCTACACTCCAGGAAAAAAACGTCCCAGCCTATCTAGCTCTCCTTATAACTCAAACACTCCAGTGCCGATAACATCCTTGTAAATCTTTTTGCACCCTTTTCAGTTTAATAACATCCTTCCTATACCAGTTGACCAGAACTGTATGCAGTATGCCAAATGTGGCCTTACCCATCGTCTTATACAGCTGTAACATGATGTCCCAGCTCCTGTACTCAACGCTCTGACAGATGAAGGCAAGTGTGCCAAACACTGCCTTCACCACCCTGTCTAATTGTGACACCATTTTCAAGGAACTATATACCTGAACCCCGAGGTCTCTCTTTTCGACAACACTCCCCAGAGCCCTACCATTAACTGTGTAAGTTTGGCCCTGGTTTGCCTCACCAAAATGCAACATCGCATTTATCTGAACTAAACTCCATCTGCCATTTCTCTATGCTAGTCTCTTTTCATATCCACTCTTTGCATCTCTTGATTGCTTTTTGAATTCAGCTCAGAACCTTCTATAATCAGCTTAGTTCTCAACTGTATTGTCTACCTGGCATCTGTCACAAGCACACTTCTTATTCTCCATCTGATTCCTGATATATTTTTATCATAAAGGGTTTGCTTGCCCTGCTTCACACCTTGGTGGGGATATACTTTGACTCTGCCTGAATGATTCATTCTTAAAAGGCAGCCCATTTAAACATTGCCTGCCAATGTTTAAATCCAGTTGGTCAGAGTCAGATCCATTCTTATCGTATTCAGACCATAAGAAATAGGAGCAGGAGTAGTCTGCTTGATCCCTCAAACCTGCTCCACATTCAACAGGATCATAACTGATCTGACATTCCTCACATCCACTTTCCTCCTTTTCTCCTGCCGACCTTGACTCACTACTGATAAAAAATCTATCTATCCCAACCTTAATTATGCACAAGGACTCTGCCTTCAAAGCTGTCTGTGGCAAGGAGTTCCACAAAGGCACTCAGCCTTCAGAGAAGAAATCCTTTGTGCCCTCTGATCCTTGACTCTCCCATGAGGGGAAACATCCTCTCAGCATTTAACCTGTCAAGCCCTTTAAGAATCCTATATGTTTCAAAAATGTCACCCTTCTTTCTTCTAAATCCAATGCATAGAATCCCAATCTACTTAGCTTTTGCTCATAAAGCAATCCCTCCATACTGAGGATCATCCTTCCCTGAACTGCCTCCAATGAAATGATGCATTTCCCTAAATAAGGGACCAAACTGCTGTCAGTACTCCAGATGTGGTGCCATTAGCACCTTGTGAAGTTGTAAAAACAAACAAAAACTGAAATTGCTAATGGAACTCAGCAGGTCTGACAGGATCTGTGGGGAGAAAACAGAACTATAGTTTCAAGTCCAATGACTCTTCATCAGAATAGGTGAGTTCTGATGAAGAATCATAGAATCCTCACAGTGCAGAAAGAGGCACACCCCCTTTACTAACACCTTTCACCTCAACCTCAAATTCACCTGGACAACTTCCGATACCTCCCTCTCCTTCCTGGACCTGTCTGTCTCCATCTCCGGTGACCCCTCGAAACTGACATCTATTTCAAGCTCACCAACTTTCACAGCTACCTAGACGACACCTCCCTCACCCACCCTCCTGCAAGGATGCAATCCCCTACTCCCAATTCCTCCGCTTCTGCCGTGTCTGCTCCCAAGATGGGGCGTTCCACTCCCAAACATCCCAGATGTCCTCTTATTTCAAGGACCTCAACTCCCTCCCTTCGGTGTTCGAAAATGCTCTCGACCACATCTCTTGCATTTCCCACACTTCTGCCCTCAAACCCCCTCCTCCCAACAAAAATGAAGACAGAATCCCCCTTGTCCTCACATATCACCCCATCAACCTCCACATCCAGCATATCATTCTCTACCACTTTCGCCACCTACAATCCAACCCCACAACCAAAGAGATATTTCCCTCCCCACCCCTATCTTCGTTTGTAGGGGCCGCTCTCTCCGCAACTCTGCTCTACACTCCCCACTAACCCCACCACCCCGGCACCTTTCCCTGCAACCGCAGGGAGTTGGATACCTTCCCCTATACCTCACCGCTCATCTCCATTCAAAGCCTAAAACAGACATTTCATAATAGACTGGAGTTCACCTGCACATCCGCCAACTTGGTCTACTGTATCCACAGCTCCCGATGTGGCCTCCTCTACATCGGTGAGACCAAGCGTAGACTTGGGGACCGTTTCGTAGAGCATCTGTGCTCTGTACGCAACAAACTACAACACCTTCCGGTCGCCAACCATTTTAACTCTCCTTCCCACTCCGAGGATGACATGTCCATCCTGGGCCTCCTCCAGTGCCACAATGACACCACTTAAAAACTGGAGGAGCAACATCTCATATTCTGCCTCAGGAGCTTACAGCCTGATGGCCTAAACATGGAATTCACCAGTTTTAAAATCTCCCCAACCCCGGCCTCATCCCATGACCAACCCTCCCACTCAGCCCAGTCTCCTTGACCTGACACAACCTGTCCATCTTCTCTCTCACCTATCCACCCCACCCATCCCACTGACCAATCCTCACCTACACTTACCTACCACCATCCCACCTACCTTTCCCCAGTCCCACCCCTCCTCTCTCTATTTATTTCCCAGCTCCCTTCCCCCTCCCCATTTCTGAAGAAGGGTCCCGGTCCGAAACATCAACTTTCCTGCCCCTCTGATGCTGCCTGGCCTGCTGTGTTCCTCCAGCTCCATGCTGTGTTGTCTCTGACTCCAGCATCTGCAGTTCTTGCTATCTCTGTGGTCTCGCACTGATCTCTGTGGAACTCCAGTTGTCACAGGTTGCCAACCTAAAAAAGTACCCCATATCCCCACTCACTGCTTCCTGTCCATTCGCCCTTCAGACAATCTCATGAGGTTGAGAGTCTCCGATGACGATGACATTCGTATTGAAATCACAAAGATATTTGCATATGAGGCAATAGTGTTTCCAACACTTTGCTATCACTTCAAAACTTGGATTACATATAGATACCACCTCAAGACCCTGGAGAAGTACCAGTGATGTTGTTTGAGATATATTCCCCACATTAGCTGGGAGGACAGGCGTACCAATACTCTCGCGACTGGTCGGGAACCTCAGTTTAAGTCCCACTCTAGGCTTTGAGTACAAATATCAGAGATAATGTTTCAATACAGTGTCAAGTGAGTGCAACACTGTGAGTTGTGCCATCTTTCAGATGAGATGTTTAACCAAGGTCTTAGATGGAGCCAAGGCCAAGACATCAGGTAGATGTAAAACAAAATCACATGAAAAAGTTTGGAGCAATGCAGGTCAGTTATCTTTGATATCCCAGTCAATATTTCGCCCTGAGTCATTATTACATAAACAGAACAGGGCTGTTGTGGAACCTTGCTGTGCACAAATAGGCCATCACGTTTCTACCATTACAACAGGGACTACACTGGAAATAGCATATCGTGGACTGTAAAGTCCCTGGGCACTTTGTGAGTTGTACAAAATGTTATCTAAATGCAAGTCTTCCTTTTCACTCTGTCTGTTGCCCTGATAATCTGGCTGATTAATGACTTTAGGAATGGCAACATGCTGATACATAAGCACAAATTGTTTTAACTTTTCATTGGGCTGATTGTTTTCGCTGCAGAAGCACACTGGCTCTTGGACACACTGCTTTGATGACTAAAGGCATTCTGCCTTTCATCACGACTTGAATTCCTGATGGAAAATGTACTCTGGAACAGAATTAATACTCTGACCCACACTGTTCTTCTCATGCAATTCCTGGTGGCCAGTTTCACTATCTTGCTGACAGATATGAGATATCAGGACACACTTTTTCATTCAGAGACCAGAGAGGATGAAAGGCAGAAACATATAACACAGAAAAGTGCAGCACAGAGAAAGGCCAGATGACCCATCTTGCCTGTGCAAGCACTGAGAAAGCTACTCAATTAGTCCTGCTCCCCTGCTCTTTCCCCATAGTCCTGTAAATTTTGTTCCATTTAAGTAGCCTTTTAATTGTTATTACTGAATCTGTTACCACCATTCTTTAAGGCAGTGCATCCCAGATAACAATCGAATTAAAGTAAAATACTGCAGATGCTGGAAATCTGAAACAAACACAGAAAATGTTGGAGAAACTCAGCAAGTCTGGCAACACTAAGTGCTGCCTCGCCAGTGACATCCTCATTCCGTAGATGAATAAGGAAAAAAAACATCTCTGGACAGAAGCAGAGTTAATGTATCTGAAGAACTCTGAGGAAGAGTCACAACAGACTCAAAATGTTAACTCCATTTCTCTCTCCAGATATGTTGCCAGATCCACTGAGTTTCTGCAGCATTCTTTGTGTTCACCTCAGATAACATTCACTATGTTAAAAAAATCCTAC